AATTTTCCGTTACGTATTCAGAATATTCCACAACTCCTCCGTTAGCAAGCGTGGAAATTTCCAGTACCCGCGCCAGTCCGTCTGTTCGCGACACTTTCACCGAAAACAATGTTTTCTGTTTTCTCCGACTCATCCACCGCCTAATTTCCGGTATTAATGAAATTCTCTAACGGTGTCCCACCGTCTGGCCCGCAGACAAAGCCAAAGCCTCTGAGGGAGTTCCATACTGAGCCACAGGTATTTCAGGAATGCCACAGTACCTGCGCTAATCCAGTCAATCAGCTGAATCATAGCAGGCTGGGCCGCGAAACAATCGAATGACTCTCGGCAGGACCGCTGCGATTTCTCCTTGTATCCATAAGGATTCTAGTAATTTTAGACACTTATCTGGCTAGCCGGGAGTGAGTCACAGCTGGCTAATTCGTCGTATTAGCAATATCGAATTTATTTTGTTTACCGTACGATCGGAAATGGTTTTCTCGATAATATCTTGGAATTACTCATGTTTGTGTATGTCAACGTTGAAGACTTTACTAGCGCGTCACTGATAGTAATGGATATTTATAGAATAATTATCTGCTAATGTATAATTGACGCAGAAAAATAAACCGAAGGAAATAATTATCATAATAATTCTATAAATATAGAATTATTATAATATGTGTATTATCTGCAGAGCTTTCATAAATGTTTACAAGGCACGTGACCAGCAATTTTGTTGGGAAAATCAAAAAATCTTATTTTTTTATTTTTTAAATTGTTTATGAACGATTTTTTGCATAAAATTTTTCTTTTAATTTTTTTTAAATAAGCCATTTCGATGGGAAATTCAATTCTCTACAAAATTTTTCCTATGAACTATAGAGAAATTTTGCTTCGTTTTCGAGCTATATTTAAAAAACTGCAAAAGTACATTTTCACCCCTATCTTCAATTTCAACCCTCCAATTTAATAGCACAACGCGGTTTTTTCATTTTTAATGACCCTTCGAATAAGTCGTGATGAAAATCCTTAAACGTCCTATTTCCTTCTTTTTTTGAAAAAAAAACTAGAACTAAAACGTATATGGGTAAACGCGACGAAAATCGAAAAATTGGCTAATTTAAGTTTGAGCGGCCATATTATTATATCAATCAATTTTCATCCAAATATACTTTTCAACTTCTTACTTTGAAGGAAATTTTATCTACTTTTTTTATGAAACAATGCCTACACCTATCTTTCCTTAAAAAAAAACTAGAGGCAAAAAAGTAAAAAAAATCAAAAAATCGAATTTTTGCTTTTTTTCAAATTGTTTATTAACGATTTTTTGCCTAAAATTTTCCTTTTAAATTTTTTAAATAAGCCATTTCGATGGAAAATTCAATTCTCTAAATAATTTTTCCATTGAATTATACCGAAATTTTGCATCGTTTTCGAGCTACAATTAAAAAACTGAAAGGGATGCATTTTCACCCCTATCTCCAGTTTCCACCCTCTAACTTAATAGCATTCCGCGGTTTTTTCATCTAAAATGACCATTTGAACGGTTCATATAATAAAATATCTTAAACGCCATAGTTCCTTTTAAAATACTATAATCAATAGTCTATACGTACTTCTGCATGTAAAGTTCGACAAAGATGAAAGAGGAAAAGAAAGGAGTATTATTATTAAAATATCTATCACCTACATGTGTACTACTAGTGGATTTCTGTCTTTTATTTAAGTGATCCAGATCGCTTATCTGAAAAAACGTCTTTAATGGCACATAACTTACTCTGAAAAAACTGATGGTAGATGACATTCTTGTTATATGGTTATTTTATAGAGAAGCTGTACTTGAAGAAATATAAATATACCCTAGCCCTAGACGAAGTATAAAGCTTTGAACAAGAACAACAGAGCTTTGTTACAACAAATTTGATCACAACATTACATATGAGAAAATGGATAACTGACATGTAATATTTATTTTTTTAATTCAAAGGGAAAAATCGTTTCTCATTTTTCAGAAACACAAAATATTTCATACGACGTGCAAAACAACAGTTTTTAATTGTTATCAGTAACTTTAAAAGTAATAATCTTGATGTTATCACTACCTGCGGTATTGTAATGGATATTATCAATATCGGTACGTACATAAAAAATCCACATATTTACTATTATTACAATCTATCTAATGTCATCATTTCGTTTTCTATGTAAACTCCGATTTTAATCAACAATCTTTAATGATTCAATCACCATAAATGACGTATTATTTATTAATATCCATGCTTGAAAATATTGAAAGGAAAATAATACATTCAAATATAACTAACTAGAAATTTATTATCAAAAGGCAGGTATCCTGTTTCGGCATAGTTTTACAAAGAAATAAATTGGCGGGTATTTTCTGTTGTTTATCTTTTCACCTTTCTATTTAGCAAAAAATAGTAATGACGAAAACTTTAGGACATTTTCTTTCGATTTAAAAGCAATATGTAAAATATCAATTGTGTTGAATTTCAAAAATATAAACTTTTGCTTTTCTTTAAATTAAACAAATCTTTAAATTCTGTATTGAGAAAATATATAATAATTATAAAATGTGTTTTTTTGATACCTCCTGTCTTAGACAAAGTTCATATGTGTACTCCATTTCAATTTTTTTAATGCCTTAGTACCCACTTTATAAATACTAACTTCAATAGTTTCTCCCTTGGGTTGTTCAAACATCATTTATTATGTATTTACTATGAGGTTATCTTCCCTAACACTGATACAAAAGTTATAAATATACTTTTTTTTATGTTTTCGAAGAAGCAACTGAATATGACATTCCAAAATAACCAAGACCCAAATTTATAAATTTTTGAAATAGAGCAAGCTATATTTTTACATATTCTATTAAAATGATATAATGATTGTTTGGTCTATATCTAACAATCAGTCAGGAAAATATATCCAAAATAGGGTGCCATAGGTATAATAATATGCTAGAGATTCGTTAATTACGAGGCAATCAAATCTATAGACAGCGCATTAAAACGACACATTCTTTTGGCCATATTTCTCTTACTGATAAAGGTTGATCCATCAATAGTCATTCTAACAGAATATGTAAGCACATACAGGGTGTTTAACTTAAAAAATCATAATTTTGGGTTTGGATAAAAGATGAGACATCTAAAAAATATAAAAATTTGTGATTCTCTTAACGTTCTTGTAATAATCAAATAATAATATTATTGATTCAAAAGATGCTACTTTATTTTTTATTTAAATTAGTTGAAACTAGCCGAAATATATTTAAAAGGAATTTTAAAAATCAATTAGCGCACAGTACCTGGATAATTTGAAAGGAAAAAGAGACATCCAATTTTCCGTAAAACAGAGAAGATATCGAAAAATGTAAGAGGTGTTTTCTGTTCCCATTGTCATGCTTTTTCGGAAAATATAATCAATTATTATTTTGCACAGGACCGTACTATTTTTTTTATAAAATAGTCCAATGAGTTTCCCATACCTCCGCCACTGGTTACGCAAAAGTTTTGATATTACAGTATTTTATGAAAGCTTGACCCAGTATATTTACACTAATAGATTTTTTTTTAACTGTTAACACCCTGTATCTCGAAAACAGTTGAGATTTTGAAATAACTTTATACTTATGACAAAGTGCCATTATTTTTCGTTTAACTATCTGCTCCCGAAGTCTAATAAGTTAAAAGTGAGACGCCCCGTATATTCATCTGTACAACATACAGGGTGAGTTTTTTTTCGATGTTTAGTGTAGGGATCTGGCAAAGTAGCAGAGATACAAAAAAGTTTAAATGAGGAAAGATGTGCAGTTTTATGATCCTTATTAAATGTTACTTTTATTTTTTGAAAAAACGTCATGGCTGACTAGATATTTGGAAAAATCCGAATTCGGCTAATTCCTTCAGATGCGTGAAGTTCCGTTGCTATTTATTTTACAAAAAAAACTTAAATCACAAAGTTTCATGTTTTTGCAGTATTAATAAGACAGTGTGATCAAATTGTTCGTGTACAGTTTTGTTTCCAAGTTATAACATAAACTTCAAGTTTTTTAAATGTAAACCATAATTAGCTATGAGCTAGAAAAAATTGCCTTTTTTTATGCTTTCCAACGATATAATATTCGGTATTGTTATTTTGAAAAATGGGAGAACTGCAGCCGTTTTTAACTTTCCAATTGCTCGGTCACGTAGATGGCTGTGAAAACAATCGAAATGTTTACTGACAACGCTTTTAGTTACTATAGCATTATTTGAGTTACTTTTCTTTCTTAGTCGTTTCAATTGCTAAAGGCAATGAATTTTTCAAACGAGGAAAAGCGTGATATTATTGAGTGTTGCATTTGTTCAGGAAGGTTTTGACAATATTGATACGCGTTGTGTGAGACAGGCCTCAAATTCTGTTTCAAACACGAACAATTTGATCACACTGTTTTATTAACACTGCAGAAAACTGAAACTTTGTTATTTAAAAAATTTCTGTAAAATAAATAGCAACGGATCTGAAAGAATTGTCCGAATTCAGATTTTTCCAAATATTTAGTCAGCCATGACGTTTTTTTTAAATAAAAGTAACATTTAATAAGGATCATAAAACTGCACATCTTTCTTCATTTAAGCTTTTTTGTATCTCTAAAAAAAACTCACCCTGTATAGTACCGAGTACATGATACAGTAGTAGTACATTAATAAAATGACAATAATTTAATGCTATTTGCATTATACTAATCAGTGCGGTCATTAACACACTATTTCGTTTTTCGAAGTCGGTTTCTCAAGAAAAAAAAACGCAAAATAAATATTCCACCGCCTCCGTATCTTCACAGACCTCGAACCCGATAACTCGGAAAACGTAAAAAAAAAACATAAAAATCCTTAGCACTGAAGTGCAACTGCAGTGATAAGCGTCAGATACATTTCCTTCGCCCCCTCCACTGCGCGATGATATCATCTATTAAATTCCAGACTTGGTAAGCCAGTTCCACTCGTAAACGGACAAAAGTTCGCAAGGCGCGCTGGCGAGCAGACCGGAGACCGAGTCAACTCACCTAGTGACCAAGTTCACGGAGAAACAAACGAGTTTCGATTTCGATCCGCCGCATCGCGTGTGCCTTGACCGGCAGCGAGTTTGAAAAATGTCCGTTGCAACCGTCGCCGATTCCAAGACCGGCAAGAAGCCTCACTATAAGGACTATGTCAGTTTCCTGGAGAATTACAAGAACGGCAAAAAGGAGGACCAGAACAGTGTGATAACAAGCGACAGTGGTGTGAGTTTTTCTTTGAATAATTCGTCCAATAACTCGTCTTCTAGTGTATACTCGGATTTAACGGACCCTCCCAAGACCAGCTTCAAGGAATATCTCCAGAGTTACAACAACAAGAAGTATAGTCCGGTGCAACCCCCAGTTAAAGTCAAGAAACAGCCAGAACAGCAAGAGGCTGAAACAAAGACAGTGAAAACGGAAGTGTTCATTGAAATCAACGGCCCACCGTGTACGGTAACAAAAGTGGTAGACGTGAGCAACGCCCAAAACGTCAGTAATGTTAGTAAAGTATCGAAAATATTCGAAAAGAACGTAGATCAGCACGAAAACGTCGTCACGAAAGCAATTCCCCCTAGTGGTAAAGTAAACACTTTCAATTTCGGGCAAAAAGATACTGACATTAAACAGGAACAAAGGAAAATTTCAATTGGTGAGATATCAAAGAAGTTTGAAGGTAATCACCACAAAGTCACACTGAAAAAATCTCACAGCATTTCGGAAAAATCCAGGGTGTTCGAGGATTCCAATAACCTTCCCAACAACCACTCGGAACCAAAAGAAAACTCATCATCAAAAACAAATGGTTGCGTATCTCCAAAACCGCCAATAAATAACGCAAAACCAGCATTAGCACCAAAACTAACACCAGAAGATTCCTCACCAAACACGAATGGTTCCGTATCACCAAAACTTTCGGTAAACATAAAACCTGTGGTGGTACCAAAAGCAATCACGGAAGCCTTACTATTCCAACAAAAAGAAGACACATCCACAGCAAAAACGAATAGTGCACCACCAGCGTGCAACATAAAACCAGTGATGGCACCAAAACCAGCCACCGAACCAGTCCATATTGAAAAATCGTTGAATACTCCTCCACCACCACCTTTCCCTCAACCGATCTTCCAGGAACAACCAGTTACCTGTGCACCACCTGCATGTCCTCCACCACCACCCCCGGTGCCACCAACCCTACAAAACGGTCCTTCCGCTGTGCCTCCACCCCCTCCACCGCCCCCTGCGAACTTCTCCGTGAAAAAAGTCCAGAACTCCTCTCCAAAACCCGCGGTTCCTATCCAGAAAGTTGCCATCAACGGCGTTGCTATTGCACCAAAGAAAAACGACGTGGTAGATGGCGCACATCCCGTCATAGACAAGAACGACCCCAGGGTGAAGAGGTTGGTGTACGGGGCCTTAAGGGAGATGTACGGGGCGTATCATGACAAGGCCAACGACTACATCGCCACTTTGCCGAGGAATAGGGTGAAGAAGAACAACGGGTTGGACAGCATCATCAATAGCATTGCGTAAGTATATTTTGTTTAAAATCTATATAGGTAATGTTATTCGTTGAATGCTACTCCATCGTGTACAAGGCTGATGGCCTCACCCGTGCACCAAATAATCGAATTGTAACGTAACAGATATGTCAGATGATTACAAAATAACTTTTATTAACGTGGTAGCAATGATTAATATGCCGTGCGGGGTATGCCACAATATTTTACGTCAATTTTATGTTGTGATATGACAATTAAAATATGTACCTACCTGAAACAAGGTTGTCGATAATATTTGCCGTCCTTAAAATTAGTAAACTCACAAACAACAATGTAAGGTTATCCGTAAGTGTTTGTTTTGTGTTATTTTGAAACTACCCGACCATATGCGACACGTTTCAGCCATACATCATAAAGAAAATAATTCAGTTTGTTGACTTTTCGTCTCCAACAATTTATCGGTGACATTTTATTAATAATAAACAATATTTTTACGCCTACAGTACAATGTGTTACACCGCGTGGAATATTTGTTTTTGTTTCTGCTGTAACAGAGAGATATACGACTGGAGGTAACACGAAAACCGTAAATTAAAGAAAGTTATATTTAAATAAGAATGAGGTGCGGTAGACATAAACACTAAGAAGCATTGTAGACGATTTCGGAAGAGGAATATCAAGTTATTAACAGACATGCAACGATCGGAGCCAAGACCGATCTCTTGATTATTTTAAAGAGGAAATTCCACGACCTCTTTTCTTTGATTGCTGCGTGATGTAATAAATATTTGAATTACGCGGTCACTCGCAGGCAGATACGGGGTCAAGAGATATGTCTTAGATACCGCTGGTGAAAAATAGCTGGATTATTTTTTTAAGAATAGCCGCGCCCAGAACACGGAAACTTACCTACTTACTTTTAATAACGTTTAAAAAAACTTTCTACGCTTCTACTTGAGTCAATAGGACGCGAAGAAAGGAAGATGTACGGTGATGTCACTGTTGACTTTAGACATAGAAAGCGGCGAAATAAAAAATCGCCATTGCTTGATATAGGTACCACATTTTCTTCTTTTCAAAAATATCTAAAGAAATCAACACAAAATTGAAAATCGAATTGTAATTTAAACACCCTGCACATATTTTATCTAGATCTAAGATAAACAGTGAAATAATAACTGATAGGCATTTTACGTGTACTATTGCTGTGATTTATTGTTTTTTTTTTTACTGGGAGGCATATTTTAATAACACAGGACCACAAAAAAAATGAGTGGAAGGTTCCTTGAACCAGACCAAATGGTTTTTTGGGTCGCTGAAACCGAATCCGAAACCTGTTTTGCCCCATCACTTCAGCGTTTTTTTCTAACCTCAAAATTCAGCTTGAAACTATGAAATCCAACAATATCAACCTTTAACCCATATAACCCTATACTTTAATTACTCAATAACCTTGAGATCGATAACCTATAACTCTAAAACCCATAACCTGAAAATCTATAACCTCAAAACTCATAAATCTCAAATCCCATTAAACTGCAAACACAAAATGAGCAAAAATAAAAACAAAAACTTACAAGCTAAACTCAAATTTCAATCTCGGAGAGTTTTAACTTGATAATTCTACACCTACATCACTTCATAACCTTATAATTATGAGGTTATGACGTGATAGAGGTGTATAGTGTATGAGATTTATGAGTTTTGAGGTTATAGATTTTCAGGTTATGGGTTTTAGAGATGTAGGTTATCGATCTCAAGGTTATTGAATTATGAAAGTATAGGGTTATATGGTTTAAGGGTTGATATTGTTGGGTTTCATAGTTTTAAGCTGTTTTTTGAGGTTAGAAAAAGACACTGACGTGATGGGGCAAAACAGGTTTCGGATTCGGTTTCAGCGACCCAAAAAACATATAATCCACTTGGTGTGGTTCAAGGAACCCTCCACTCATTTTTTTGTGGTCCTGTGAATCAATTGATATGACATAAAAAGAAATAGCAACAAAACACTGACTTAATGTAGAGCATACATTGGCATGTGTAAACTGTTTAAACTTTCGATTTATTTGTCACTTTCTTTAGTTATATCCGTGATATTCATGTTATCCATATGTGATACATTTTCATTGCTTGAAACTTGAAACTCAAAAATTAGGAAAAAATGCAAAATTAAGAATAGTTTTTAGTTACTTCGTGGATTCTTTTATAATACAATTCAAAAACTAAAAAAAAAATATATAAATATACAGGCTGTCTTACGATGACCTCCCATTAGAATATTTCAGACACTACTTTGATTTAAATTTTGAAAATTTGATACCTGGGATTTTCGGAGATTCTATCTTTAAATAAAATAATGCCATTATTGCAGCAATTCCGGTTATACCGGTGACATACGTCTACTTGCTTATTTTAAATAGAACACCCTGTATATTTAATCAAAATCTATTGTAGAATTTTACTCTCTATTTGTCACCTATACTATTTTTTAAGAAACAAGTAGAATATAAAGAAACATTCATGAGATAATTACGAGTATATTTAGCAGACCTAAATACATTTTTTACACAGAATAAGGTCTGATTTTAAAAATTCTATACAGGGTATTCTACAAGTCCTATGACAAACTTTGACACAACATGAACATACGCCCAATTTGTTTTAGTTTAGATGTTACAAGCATTTTAAAAAATTTAATTTCATATTTCTATCAAAATAGCCTGATAAATAAACATTGTGGTTGCTATAACAATAATTATTATTTGTGTTTAAAGTTTAAACATTAGTTAACCTTTATTAACCAAATTAACAAATCTTAAGACTATAAAAATCGTTCGAAATGTCCACCCTCGGCTCTAATGCAAGCCTCACCTCGACAAACTAAAGATTCCGTCACTCGACGGATGAGATTTGGATCATTTCTTATCCGGTCAGCTACATCCTGAATTCTTTAAAGTAACTGCGGACGGGTAGTGATTTCAATATGGTAGACAAGCTTCTTCATATGTCCCCATGAATAAAAGTCCAAAGGATTTAGATCTGGGCTACGCGGTGGCCATGCTATTGTTGACGTATTCATTTATTCGGGAAATGATCATTTAACCAAGCAGTTACTTGTGTCCCTCTACGTGGTGGTGCACCATTGCATTACATATTGAACTATATTAAGCCTTACGTCATCAATGAAATCAAAGAGGTTGTTTTTGTTTTCCAAGAAAGTTCTATACAGTATTTAAATGATCATTTAAATAAAACGTACAGGCAGTAAATTATTGTTGAAAATGCCGCCCCAAACGTTGACACTGAAACGTTGCTGAAATGTTTTGATCTAATTGCATGCGGATTTTGTAAGGCCAAGGTATGTATGTATTGGAACACCCATATACAAAGACAATATCTGTTTACTCTTCAGTTGTAAATACATAAATGCATTTTTAAGTGTCAAAAGAATAAACAAAGTAACACAAATAATAATAATTATTGTTATAGCAACCATCATTTTTATTTATCAGGCTACCTTGATTGAAATGTTTATAATTTCTAAACAAAAACGGATCAGACCTATGTTCATATAAGAAAAAGTATTTGAAATTAGCCCAGCTATCATTTGTCAAAGTTTGTCATAGAGCTTGTAGAACACTACTATACTGCTGAAAAACTATAATTTTAAAAAGTAAAATAAATTAAATTAACAGTTAGCTATATTTTGACCTATACTCGTAAATACCTATACACCAGGAAAATTAGCGAAAATAAAAGATAAACTCGAAAAAAGTCCTATCCGCTATATTATTGTAAAATTGTCTAAAGGAACATAATACAAGACATCTCTCGTCTCGTGAGTCAAAAACTTTTATTAGCTAACTTTTCTATTTAAACAAATAAGTGAGGAAAACAGTTTTTTCACTTTGCGGGGAAAACCATCAATTTTAGCGAAAAGTGACTCTCAGACAGCTTATAGGGAGTAAAATTATCTACAAAATGAGACTGGTTAAGTTAAAGTCGGTTAATAAACAAAAAAGTTATTGCAAAAAAACAA